GCGTTCCAGAGCGGCAGTACCACTCGCACCCGCGCACCGACCCCTCTCAAGGTCACATCACTGCCTGAGAGAGGTCGGGCCGGTCCCAAGAGCAGAACCCCGCACCCGCACCCCCCCACTGCCACACACCCCATCTGAGAGGCCGGCGCAGGGTACCGAGCAAGCGCGGCCCGCGGTCGCGCCCCCCCACCCCCCCCCCCCCCCCTACCCACCACCCCCCACACCGCACCCACACAACCACCAACCCCCCCCCCCCCCCCCCCCCCCCCCACCCCCCCCCCCCCCCCCCCCCCCCCCACCTCTCCAACTGCTGCAGCCGCCGTCAGCTGGCAGCGAGTCGCGCGGCGCCCCGGTCTGAGCGCCGCCCGAGCAGAGCCGTCGGACTCACTTCTTGGGCTTGAAGTCGTCCTTCTCGCGGCGCAGCGCGGCCATGGTCGGCACAGGCTCCGAGGTGCCGGCGTGTGCCTGCACCGACGCCTCGTGCACACGACAGAACGGGTTGATCAGCTTCTCCAGCGCTGAAAGGTGGCGACGCGTTCGTCGTACGGCACGCGACTTCGACGCGCCGTTTACCGTCCGCACGGAACTGGCCAAACGCTTCAGAGAATGGGTCACAGTGAGGTCTCAGCGGTTTGTAAGATCGTGATGCACGTGTGCAGCGCCTAGTTCTGCTTTGCCATTTCAGAGTTTGGACGCAGTCTGGACCTTCTGGCTTGGCACCTCTGCTCGAGTCAATCCATTGCTATGCTAGGCGAGAAAAACATATTATGAGGCATGCCGGGTTACAGCTACCAGTGGGTAGTTGTCGATAGGGCACATAGATGACCTTTCCAAGGCGCACCGGCTTCAGCCTGTATGCACGTCAGTTGACACGTCATAATGGGGTCCCGTATGCATGTATCAGCGATCGAGCCGGCATGGACAGTTTAACGCCGCAAGTGTCTAAAGAGCCGTCAAGGGTCATCTCGGCGCACCAGTCTGCAGGTCAGGTCAGGTTCCGTCGCCAACGTCTGAGGAGCCGCAGTACCGATCACAATAAGGCAGGGCGTTGAGAGCACTCATGCTTTTGTGTCGGAAAACAAGAATAACCTCATGCTCATGATGTAACGAACTGGTTCAAACACGTGTGTAGGTCTTCCTCAGCACACGTACAAAAAAGAGCACAGAACATGGAAGAAGAAGAACACTACAAAAGGTGTCAAACGCTGACCTCGGTCGTCGTTATTGTAATTAACTTTACTGGACAAATATTGAATTACGAAATGGTGACGACAAAACAGAGGCGGGCTTTAAAAGTGTCAACGAATAAGTCATGGCGTTCGGTGTGGGCCTGCGGTTTCTTATTGAAAACGAGTCTGCGATCTTTCATTCAGCAGGGTCTTTATAAACTTGGAGGACAGTTTTTTAAGATAACGCCTCCCAAGAACGGCGTATGATGCTTCTCGAAATGTTCTTCTGCACCATGTTTGATGTTTGAATAAAATGCTCGCTTTATTTGCGTGCAGTATGAAATGCTAGCATCTGATACATAGATATATACATCCATTATATATACATTATATATTATATATATATATATATATATATATATATATATATATATATATAAGCTATGGACCAATATATTGCATTGTAAGCACCAGCTTACTTCTATCTCCCACTACTTGCACCACAATGCAACTTATTCAATTCGCATCATGTACTATTTGATTGAGAATAAAGCGGCGAATGAGAAAAAAACAGGGCAGTTTTCTGGTTGTTTGGTTGTTGGATTAGAGCCCTTTCGACCAGAAATGATCATTTCAGGACTCTGTGATGGGGGAAAGTGGGTTAACGGTGGGGCAGACGGGCATGCGCCTGGGGGACCAACCGACGGGCTTTTACCCGCGCTTGCGCGCTGGGGTAAAAGTAATTTTACCCGGTCGGGGTCCCCCTTCCCACAGGGCTCTCGGCCCGCTCGTGGCTGACGCATGCAGCCTGCCCCGGACAAGCGGGGTGTCGCGCGGACGCGGGACGAAGCGAGATAGGGGATAAGAGAGACGGATGTGATAGGGCAGGTTCAACGATTAGCCACGTGGCGCTTAACCAAGGGGCCGTGCGTCACAACCGATGTCACTGTATGATATAAACACATGGAGATGCTTCCTTGATTAACACGCTATGCACAGGACAGAAAAAAGTTAAGTATAAATGGATTGGGAAGCCACACAAAAGGCGCACTTTGAAAAACGGAAGTCAAGACAAAAAAGACTCGACGCCAGAATTAGAGCAGCGCACGAGTGCCACCTACCGATCGTGGACGGCACTGTGGGTTCTTCCTTCTCCCGCTGGGATCGCGCCCAGTCCACTCGGCTTTTGATGTCCTCGTTATTAGGCTCCACGTGTTGCGCGAACTTCAGGTTCTGCAGGGTGTACTCATGACCGCAGAACACTTGCTGTCGACAGCACACGACCAACGGTTGGTAAATGAGCCTGTTCTGATGAGTAAGTTCAGAGTCATCTTCCCTGGCTATTCCGCAAACTTACACTGTGTGGTCTGCCTTTATGCTCCATCAACGGCGAAACAGCGTAACTTATCGAAAAGAAAATGGCATCCAGGGGGCCATACCGATGAAGGTGACAAACTCCACAAGCGATGTGCCTCACTAACCGCTCCCCCGCCCCCAAAAAACATAGTTGCCTTTTCAAACGGGATTCAAGCTCGTGTCCTTCGTTCGACCACGACGTCCACCAGCCTTCACACCCGCATCGAGCCCCTGCACTGCTGGACCTGAAGCTCTCCTGACCAGAGGCAAGCTCGAAAATACCACCTGTCAACAGCCACCAAACAAAAACGACGGACCAAAACCAACAGCGTACACGTGAGCACACATTACAGGCACTTGATCTGTGTCGATCTATGGCCCCTCACGTGTCTAGCCCCACCCCTCCCCGCCAGCGGAGCCCGGACAGTACCGGTACCGGTACCCGCAGTGTAATACACATACCGTCTCTCCGGGCAGGCTGCCGAGCGTCTCCACCAGAGCCGCGTACATCTGGTCGGCGGTGCCCTCGAAAAAGCGACCGCAACCCCCCTGGAACAGCGTGTCCCCTGCGGCGGAGGAGCAGAGTCAGACGCTCACGGGCGCAGGGTGGTGGACACGCGGCTCACAACATAGAGAAGCATACGTGTACTGCGAGGCGTGATTGCACGAACCTGTGAAGACGGCAGGAGGCTGTCCGTCGTCGCCCTTGACGAAGAAGCAGATATGGCCGCTGGTGTGGCACGGCGTGAACAGGCACTCGATCTGTGGACACGGCGGGAGCCATCTGTCACAACACGGCGTGAACAGGCACTCGATCTGTGGACACGGCGGGAGCCATCTGTCACAACACAGCGTGAACAGGCACTCGATCTGTGGACACGGCGGGAGCTAATCTGTCACAACACGGCGTGAACAGGCACTCGATCTGTGGACACGGCGGGAGCTAATCTGTCACAACACGGCGTGAAGAGGCACTCGATCTGTGGACGCGGCGGGAGCTAATCTGTCACAACACGGCGTGAACAGGCACTCGATCTGTGGACACGGCGGGAGCTAATCTGTCACAACACGGCGTGAACAGGCACTCGATCTGTGGACACGGCGGGAGCCATCTGTCACAACACGGCGTGAACAGGCACTCGATCTGTGGACACGGCGAGAGCTTACGTTACATAATCCACATCGCACGCGCCAGAAACCCAAGCCCTGTTCAGCTGGGAATGGCAGCTGCAGTGGCCTGCTGACCCGACCTGTTGCCGGCGTCACAGGCCTATGAGCTGACGTCACAGAAGGCCGTCAATCCTCTGCCGCAGTAGAAGTAACTGAGGCTGTCACGTTCATATAACGCCTATTACTTATGTCCTGATCAAAGTCGCTCAATAATTGCAACTATTTGGCGCGAACCATTTGAGTCGATATATATATATATATATATATATATATATATATATATATATATATATATATATATATCGAAAGAAGTCAGCAAGCAAAAGAAGTTTGAAGAGGTGTTTGATGCGTACTGAGTCATTGCCACGTGAATTATTTAAGAGCGTGAGAGACGGTGCAGTCCGACCGAAGTATCAGACGTTCAGCACGTAATGCGGGACAAGAGCGGAGCACGTGACGCACAGTAAGCGTTGTGTAACATTGCCGACACCGAGGTGGCTCATCGCGACGCACAGAGTATCTATGGGTGGCGTAAGTGTGACTGACCCGTGAACGACCTAGCATGACTTCCACCCGTCTTGAATTCCGATAAAATGCCTGCCTTTCCTGGATACCCGGTGTCATAATTTTCAGTTTGTTGGTGCTCGCCGCACCTCTTGAGCTCTGTCATCGGCCTCGTAGAAGGACGATATATCCGCGGCAGGTAGAACCTCGGCCGAGTTAACTCACCCACGACATGAAAATCAGGCTCCGTGACCTGACCTCATAGGACACCCAGTTCGCTGACCTAACGCCATCAAAACACTCGGCTCGGCGATCTGACCCCCAGACCCGGGCCCCACGACCTGACCTGGAGACTGCCGACGGGGAGCGTGTCGTCGTGACCTGACCTGACCTGACCTGGAGACTGCCAACGGGAGCGTGTCGCCGTGACCTGACCTGGAGAGTGCCGACGGGAGCGTGTCTCCGTGGTCTGACCTGGAGACTACCGACGGTGAGTGTGTCGCCGTGACCTGACCTGGAGACTACCGACGGTGAGCGTGTCTCCGTGGTCTGACCTGGAGACTACCGACGGTGAGTGTGTCGCCGTGACCTGACCTGGAGACTATCGACGGTGAGCGTGTCTCCGTGGTCTGACCTGGAGGCTGCCGACGGTGAGTGTCTCCGTGGTCTGACCCGGAGACTACCGACGGTGAGCGTCTCTCCGTGGTCTGACCTGGAGACTGCCGACGGTGAGCGTGTTTCCGTGGTCTGACCTGGAGACTGCCGGCGGTGAGTGTGTCTCCGTGGTCTGACCCGGAGACTACCGACGGTGAGCGTGTCTCCGTGGTCTGACCTGGAGACTGCCGACGGTGAGCGTGTCTCCGTGGTCTGACCTGGAGACTGCCGACGGTGAGCGTGTCTCCGTGACCTGACCTGACCTTGAGACTGCCGACGGTGAGTTTGTCTCCGTGACCGACGCGGCGAGTGAGGGCGCCGATCCTGTCGTCGCCGCCCAGCACGGCCAGCCCGGCCTCGTGCGAGGCCAGCTTCTCATTGCCGCCGGCGTGGTCCCTGTGGGGCGACGGACGGTGACGGTAGCGGGCGAGCGCCGAGCGGCGGCGGGCTCGGTCGGGTGGGCGGCGCCATCTCCCCGAGCGGACAGCGGGAGGGCGCCGAGCGGCCGCGGGCTCGGTTGGGTGGGTGGCGCCCTCTCTCCGAGCGGACAGCGGGAGGGCGCCGACAGGCGGCGGGCTCGGTCAGGTGGGTGGCGCCCTCTCCCCGAGCGGCCAGCGGGAGGGCGCCGACTGGCGGCGGGTTCGGTCAGGTGGGTGGCGCCATCTCCCCGAGTCAGTGGGTTAGCACGGCTCCCAGACGGCGGCCCGGCCAGCCGACATCACCCCGCCTGAGTCCTGCTACCTAAGGCCCACCCTTAGACAGATTGGAGCGCGCGGCAGTGCCTCGTGGCCGTGGCTATGCGCGTCAAGCCCGCTCTGGTTCTCTTAGTGCGCACACTGCAGATATCACGCGACTTATACGCTGTCACTGCTACAGCATGCTTCCAGGTGTTGGTAACGACAAAATGGCAGGTGGCAAAGGGCAGACTTGCCCCGGGGGCAGGGCAGTGCCCCAGTAGGGCCACCGGGGACGCCCGGGACAGCGAGGCGACACTTGGCAGGGCTAGTGGGGATGCCGTGGCATCGCTGCCAGTGGCGGGATGGTCACCACGGGCGGTGCGCTCACTCACCAGTGGTGGTGTGTGGTGAGCACGGTAGTCAGCTGAACGCCCTCCTCCTTGACAGCCGAGCGCACCGAATCCGGCTCTACCGGATCCACGACTGCCGCCTGCTTGGTCTTCTCGTCCACCAGCTGCGGTGAAGGACGGTCGACAAACCGGTAGAGAAAGGCCAGATGGTTGGCGGCGGAAACTTCGGTCGCAAGGGGATACTGCGAGGACGACCATGGCCTACACGGATCAGGTGTAAATCGAGCGAACGTCTACTCAAACTGCCGGCGTTGTAATAAAAGCATGGCTACACACCCAGCACAGTTCGAGCATACGAATGCAAGTTCATGAACTGGCGCAAGAATAAGTGTCGACATATTAAAACGCTTCACCCGTGTAAATCACACATGACACTCATGAATGGTTTCCCCATTGCATATCCTCCCCTAAGCAAACAGACGAGTGCACACAACTGAATGTGGACGGTAGCGATGCGACAAATAGCGACGCAAATGTATGCATGCGGGGAGAAAGAGCTCCGTGGTCGCCCAACAAAACGCGAAGGCATCTCCACTGGTTGCGCAGGAGCCACCACAGCTTGGGGGGTTCACGCAAGATCACAGCACTGACCAGGTACATGTAGTTGTCCTGCAGCGCTGGTATGATGCGCACCCGCATGTCTGTCTGACTGACGGTCCTTGGCTGACTGTGAAACTGACGGCGAAAACCCAACGCGGAAATCTTCTGAACTGGGGAACGAGCGTGCTGTCAAATATGGGCAAAGCTACGGAAAGAAAATCGGACATGGCACACAGGCCGGTGATGAGAGAGGAGGTCGCAGGTGTGGGATAGAAGTTTATTATTGAATAATTTATGACAAGGTTTGTGTCTTTTAACTTTCTTGTCTGCCATCAACCATATACGCAATATCCCAATCAGCCAGTCTCTAACCAAGAAGCAGCAACCAAAACGTGCTGCAAAACAGCCAGTATTGTATGTGGTTAACAAGGACGCTTACTCTAGTGGCGTTTGTCCACATAAAACACTGCTTTTTTAGCATGGCCAATGCAATTCCGTGGCGTGTAGGCTGAACGACCAAGTCCAGCATTCCCCGCCCCTAACCATCATGGGCAATGCAGTGTTCTGGCGACCCCAGCCGATGTTCTGGCGGACAGCCGCCGTTCAGTCACGACAGGCACCCGCCACATGGCACGTGAGCTCACCTCTCCCACCCTGATATCACGCTCATAGGCCCCCATGCCCTGTCGCCTGCGCTCTATCACGCGGGGTCATCCAGCAGGTAATCCAGCAGACATACAGTGGCGGGATACAGGTGGATGTATACAGGTGTCCGTACACAGGTAAGGATGGGTGGAGGGGGGGGGGGGGGGGGGGGGGGGGGGCGAGCAAGATACTGTACGACGAGTCCGGCAGACGGCAGAGGCACGGAGCAGGAGAAGAGCAAGACATGGAGTGAAGCAATGTGCGATCTGCCACAATTCAGGGGAACACCAAGAGCATAGAAAGCAAATGGTATGAGTACCCATTAATGGTCTGATGTCAATATCAAAAACTGGTATGGCGCTTTTAACAGTTCAAAAACATGACACTCTTGGCCGTCTTTCATCCCCTCATTGCCCCACACTAAGACTTAGCAGGCGTGATTGGCCACAACAACCAGACCTACCAAAACACCGACAATGTCTCCAAGTTCCGACGATTATTACATACATCTCGCCATCTTGACAACCAAGCCAGACTGTACACTCTGGATGTTCGCAGAAGCCGCGAAAATGCAAAATTAGACACAAGAACCTTATTTACCATTGACCGAGTTACTTTGTTAGTGGAAACACGTGAGTGCCAGACAGACAGAATTTCAGACTTCTGAAGTGGGATGTCAGTGGTGAGGCAAGCGCTTAATGAGCGTTTGATGCACATACCCTTGAAATAGATGGCTGTTATTCCCTGGGAGACCCAGTCAGGCACATGAGCGAAAATTCGCATGGCCAAATTCTCCATCTAAAACGAGAAACAGCTTAGAAACAGTTCAAAAACATGACACTCTTGGCCGTCTTTCATCCCCTCATTGCCCCACACTAAGACTTAGCAGGCGTGATTGGCCACAACAACCAGACCTACCAAAACACCGACAATGTCTCCAAGTTCCGACGATTATTACATACATCTCGCCATCTTGACAACCAAGCCAGACTGTACACTCTGGATGTTCGCAGAAGCCGCGAAAATGCAAAATTAGACACAAGAACCTTATTTACCATTGACCGAGTTACTTTGTTAGTGGAAACACGTGAGTGCCAGACAGACAGAATTTCAGACTTCTGAAGTGGGATGTCTGTGGTGAGAGAAGCGCTTAATGAGCGTTTGATGCACATACCCTTGAAATAGATGGCTGTTATTCCCTGGGAGACCCAGTCAGGCACATGAGCGAAAATTCGCATGGCCAAATTCTCCATCTAAAACGAGAAACAGCTTAGAACAACTCATCATCGAAAAGTGATAACATTTTATGAAAGTATCCAAACTTTGGAATGGCTAACTTCTTATGGTTCACACACACTGAAAAGCAGATACCGTCTATGCAGTAGAGTTGTGCTGACCTAAAGTCAGAGTCAATACCAGTATTAGCCAACATTTTTAAATATAGGCATGGGTGGCTGGTCAGACACCCTTTGCTTGGGTGGGGCTCAATTTGTCCCTGCTGAGATCTCAGGAACTGATGGCTAGACACCAAACCCACAGGGTGTGTTTGTCTGTAAGTGAACTCAACTAGGTCAAATTTTGAGGATTCTGGGCATGATCTTCCAGTCAACAAACTCCAGGTTGGTCCCCAAAGTGTACCCAGAACCTAGACATGTTCTGAGCAAAGGTCACATGATCATTTAAGGTCAGTGACCTTGTTTGACATTTCAAGGGTCATGGTGACCAAAATCATACAAGACTGCTGCAATATGTTCCCCACGACAAAATGCTGACCAGGATCATATAAGGTCAGTGACCTGCTCTGATCTTCAAGAAGCCCATGGAAGATGTCTTATGCAGTTCCTGTTACCAATAAATTTAAAATGAGCATCAGAAAGCACCCCATACAGCAAGCCCCAGAGTAAAAAAACAGGTTGGTTTTGACCTTGGTCTGACCTCCACACCTGACCCTAGGTCTATGGAATTTTATCATCCAATTGTTGTGTCACCTGAGGAAGTATCTCAGAGATGTGCAGCTTTGCCTAACACTCCAAGTTCCATCAGATTGAACAAGACTCCTAGAAACTGGCTTTGCTGAATCCATGGCCTGACTTTAACCTGCCATAGGTCAGCAAACTTACGAGGGACATCCCATTTTTTGGTATCACACAATTTGTTATTTAACTGTCTCCAGATATGCAAAATTTGGTGCTGCCGTGGCTGTGCCATGCCATTTGAAAGCCATCACAGAAAAATCAGGAGGGTTAACTTGACCCACCACCCCAGCATGTCTTAAGTCACTGCAGAATCTGGACCTCTACACATCATAGTGAGTCAGAATGAGGATGCACACATTCTCAGTTAGATCAACAATGAGTTGACAGGAACATTGTGATAGTCACAATTCAAGGTACCATTCTGAAAGCTTTTATGGGCATCAAAGAGGGCAACAAACATATGTGTTTAGACCTCAGCAAAACACATGCTGTCATCAGCACAAGAACCTAAAATCAATGTAAGGTGCCATAGTCCGGGGGAACACAATCCTAGCCCACCAACCAGCAGCCTGTGTACCAGCCTGGAACCATGTGCATCCAGGTCCAGGGTCACTGCACCTCACAACACTGTGTGGTAGAACATCCTCCACTCAGTGAATTGTCTTTCTAAAATGCAAGAAGCATGCTTCCCAATCTAGAAGAAAGCAGAAACTAATAACTAGGCATGCAAAGGCTCAAAGGTGCAAATGCATTCAACTTAAGTCATCATGTGTTCAAACCTCTAGATCATGGTTATTTATTCCAGATAGATGGAATCAGAAATGTATGAGTCACAAGGCCATTCCATATACTGAATACCTCAATATAAGGTGCAGGACATGCCCTATGGCACAGCCCAAAGCAGAGGCAGCCCATGCCAACCATTCAAACACATATCAATGTGATGGTTAATGTGATGTGCAATGTCCCAACAAGAACCATTAGAATAATGCCTGGGTTTAGGCCACTTGGGGGAAGGGGCTAAAAAAACTGGTTAACCACCATTCAGCTGACACTGTCATCCTATCTAATGTATTCTATCTCTTACATTTCAACCTGAGTGGTGCAAGAGCATAGAAATAATTGTGATGGATCAATATTTATAACCTGGTCGCAGCCTAGCTATATCTGCCAGCCAACAGTGAAGCAAGCCAGCCCAACTCCATGGCTATGCTCCGAAATGCATGCAATATGCATGTTTGACATAATTAATAGTGGGTAGCAGTATTTATAGGCACCTGCCAGTTCAGGAACCCACAGAGGCATTTATGCAATCATGAGGAGAGCCAGTCATTTGAGTTTTTACAGAATGAACCAATGCTCATCTGAATTGTGGCCCACACTCATGTCTCATGCCTGTTAACTGTGGCAGAATAGTTATGAACAAAAAGGAGGCAGAGCAGAGAAATAAAAGAAAACATATCCCAAAATACATAAATGTCTTGTCTCCTAATAAGGCCGACATTCCTCTCGAATGTTGGTTATGGACGATGCGCAATCCAGTACAAATGCGCTATTTTCTTGCTACATAACTCTCGGATTTTTAGCAGCGGTAAGCACTACCAGTTATGAATATCCACATTTCAACAAAGACTCCAACAGAAAAACAGATGTGCTTACATTGCTTCAGTGTGGTTCTTATCATCACCACACGCCTGACCCTACACTGCCCCTAATCCCTCCCGCCGGCCTCTGGCTATCGCAAGCGTGTTTGTTCCGGAGCAGGTAAAAACGCCACTGGTGAAGACAACATGCTGCAAAGATGCCAAATAATAGAAGTTTTCTCGCTGGGCTCCTAGTCCGCGAAATATCAAACGAAACATTAACCGTATACATCATCCGCCGCTACCCAAGCCAGCATATCAAGCAGGGACCTATGTGGGCCGAGATGCTGACAGTCATTTGGGGCCCATCGGGACTGCCCGCTTCGGTCCCATGTGAGCAAGTCATAGGCAACTAACTGGGTCCCACAAGCGTTCTATCGCCCTGGGTCCCACATGCGCAGCCCGCCTGGGCCCATATGCAGCCAAACTGGAATCCTCATGGGGCCCACCTGGGCTGCCCAGTGGGGACCCACTTTGGTCCCATGTGCGCAATGGGCATGTCATGGGCAATCAACTGGATCACTTTCCCTCCACAACGAAGGGGTCCTTCCGATCTCATGGGGGGAACCCGATATCAATGTGGAGGACTCCGGACCGGCGACAGTGAGCCCGCTGATCATCGTGTACGCCACCGTCAACAGGATAGGTCTTCCGAAAAATGGAAAACCCAAGACCAGTGGGGACGGCACCTGAGCGATCGAGGGTGCCGCGGCAGGCCAATAAAGAGGCTCCCGTCAGCAGCGTACGACCAAGCGAGAAGAACCCAGCACCTATGTGGTGGGTCCCTGAACGATCAGGAGTGCCCCGGCAGGTTGAGATATTGGACTCCGCCAGCGCACACGGTCCCCCAAGCATTCGGGGAGAGCCCAATATTTATGTGCGGGGTCCCTAAGCGACCGAGTGTCTTGGCAGATAAACGTATATGGCCCCGATAACAGAGAACGGTCATTCGAACAGATAGGAAGCCCTCATGGTCAATGTGACGGGTCCCTGCGCGATCAAGTGCCCGGGCAGAGAACAGAAAAGACTCCGACAAGAGTGTAGGGTTCTCTGCAATAGCAGCAATTGGACAGCGCCCCAGACCAATGAAGAGGGCCCCTGAGCAATGAGCGGCTCAGTAAGTTAACTTACGCGATCACAAGTAAGAAAACAGGATTCTCTGAGCAAGTGGAAGGAACCTTAGACCAATGTGGAGGGTCCATGAGCAGCCGGGTGTGCCCCTGCAGGTTAGCATACGCGCCCCCGGCAAAGGCTTTTGAGGCCTTTAGCGTGGAATGTAAAAAATCCATGGAGGGCCCCTGATCAGTGAACAGTGCCCGGACAGGCTAGCATGTAAGGCTTCGACAATAGCGTAGGGCCTTCCGACGGTGACAGGTGATAGGCGCCACGCGGACGCGATAGGCAAACCGCAGTGGCTGGGGTCACGCCAGCTGATATCGCCGTTAGGTAGTACGACCTTGACCTTGAACTTGACCGAGCGGCCCTCCGGGTGGTCGGTATCATAACAGTTCCCCAAAGACGATACGAACTTCGTCCTAAAATCATCGGAAGCACCCAGCGCCTGAAGCGGAAATCAACTGCGACAACGGAATACGCGCACAGAGATAGAGTTTACGCGTATAAAATCAGCGAGCGCAAACAAAATAGCGTACAATACGCACGCTTCTACGCGTAATTTAAAGTTCATGTGAGAGCGTAACTCCACATCACTTAAACAATGCGCATGTAAATCTGCGTTGGATGTTTTCGCCCCAGTGCACGGCAAGGCGCCGCAGCCGTCATCATCGACGACCGCTGCGACGGAACGCTGGTGCCAGTGTACAAGTCCCTTGGGTCGACAGCTCTGAGTAGGGCAGTGGCGGTTCACGCTGGTGCTGCTCCCCCATGACAGCCTCGGGACAGGGTAGTTGGCGTGTTGCGCTGGTGCTGGCCCCCACGGCAGCTTCTGGGCCAGGCAGTTGGCGGGTCGCGCTGGCGCTGCCCCCCCCCCCCCCTAGGCAGCCTCGGGGCAAGGTAGTTGGCGGGTCGCGCTGCTGCTAACCCCCACGGCAGCTTCTGGACCAGGCAGCTAGCGGGTCGCGCTGGCGCTGGCCCCCACGGCAGCCTCGGGGCAGGGCAGTTGGCGGTCGCGCTGGTGCTGGCCCCCACGGCAGCCTCGGGGCAGGGCAGTTGGCGGTCGCGCTGGCGCTGCCCCCCCCCCCCCCCACGGCAGCCTCGGGGCAGGGCAGTTGGCGGTCGCGCTGATGCTGGCCCCCACGGCAGCCTCGGGGCAGGGTAGCTGGCGGTCGCACTGGCGCTGGCCCCCATGGCAGCCTCGGGGCAGGGTAGTTGGCAGGTCGCGTTGGCGCTGGCCCCCACGGCAGCTTCTGGGCTAGGCAGTTGGCGGGTCGCGCTGGTGCTGGCGGCCCCCTACCGCTTGTCAGCAGTGAAGAGCGAGGACACAGAACACGTCTGTTCCGTCAGTAGATCCGGCCACTTGGCATCTTTGCCAAGTGCCCTTTCCCCCCTTATGCTATTCATGGTCTAACTGTTGACATCAGTGACGCGTCAGCGGGTCGGAGTTGTAAAGAAAGAAGAAAAAACGAATGTGATTATGCAGGCAATGTGCTGGGCATCTTTCCCTGAAAAATAAGAAATTAAAAAACCCTTTTGAAATGCCACTGGTGTAAAAAAGATCACGAGGTCACGGGGTAGAAATGACTGCGAGTACTCACTTCCACTTGTAATCGATGCAGCAAATCATCTCCTTTCAAATGAAGTCACGTTTTGATCAGATCTAGGCAGCCATTACACAGATAAAACATTTTGTCTGGTCCCATTTCCAGATTGCCCGAAATTTCCACGACCAGTATTTTGCATCACATGGAGCCTGGAATCCCAAGAATCGCTTCGGTGCGAGTTTGGTTGTGATATAGATGAGCACCGATGCCAAATTTCTTCCAAATCGGAGGGGTTATATTGAATAATCATGGGCCTCTCGTGGTGATTTGTCCTGGAATAGCTCTACACTGTGCAGAATACGGCCGATCGCCGTCTTGAAGCTCTTCTCGAGAGAAAATCGCGTGTTACTTCTTTAGTGTTAGCTAAGACTGCTTCCGGGTTGAGCATTTTGCTTTTTTTTGTATCCAGAGGGCCACGAATTCTACTTGCGGGGAGTGGGGGGGGGGGGGGGGACAGAAAGATCATATCTTCCTCTTTTTCCCTAAGCTTCCGTCATAGGGAGGGGAAACTTCTTCCACGCCTTGGCTGCCCAGCTCCGGTCGGATAACAGAAATGTCAAGGTAAGGCAAACGGCGCTTTGAATCAGTTTCAAATAAGCGATTGGTTCTCCCACATTTAGTTGCATACCGTTTCTAATGATTGCGTTATGCGTTGAATGAGCTAACGACAATTCACCGATGCATGCCCGACTCATGAGTAAGCGGCCTGAATTATGTCCAGATCGTTTATCTTTCTAGACTGCGGGCCAGAAGACAGCTGAAAGGTCGGCTCATGCACGGACAGATGGGAACTCACATCAGTCGGCGGTCGGAAACTATGCTGCATAAGGCGGTCTCCCACGTTAATTCGACCCAGCTATCGTGGAAGTGATCTGTTGCAGCGTTTGGTGGTTCGGTACGGTTCTAGTGCCAGTGATATGCTGCAGTCTTATCGCAGTGTCAAGGCATATCGCCCATAGTGCACCACGCCAGCCCACCACCACATCCCACCAATGAGGTGGCTAGTGTCGCGGTCGTCGAGGGCAACAGCGACACACTCCAGCCCACCGGCGCCCCGGCTCGACCGCCGACCACCCACTCCACCCCGGCGGCGCACCGGCTCAACCCCCGTCCACTCACTCCATCCCGGCTCGACCCCTGTCCACTCACTCCATCCCGGCTCGACCTCTGTCCACTCGCTCCATCTCGGCTCGATCCTTGTCCACCCACTCCATCCCGGCTCGACCCCTGTCCACTCACTCAATTCCGGCTCGACCCCTGTCCACTCACTCCATCCCGGCTCGACCCCTGTCCACTCACTCTACCCCAGCCTTTCCGCGGCTGGCCATGCCGTCTGTCACCAGCTTCCTGCTGTGTCTGGTCGTGCTGTCCCGCCCGCTGGAGTGTGTGCTACTGAGGCGCCTCCCGCCGTCCTGGGCCGGCGCCGGCCTGCTGCAGACCGTCAGCGCCGGCAGTGCGTCGCAGTGCGCCATCCGGTGCGCGGCGCTGCCCGGCTGCCACGCCGTGACGTACGCGATGGCCTCCTCGCCGCGCGCGTGCCTCCTGCGCGGCTGCGGGCGGTCCTGGCTCCGTCACGGTGCCAGCTGTTACCGGGCGGTGCGGCGGCCGGTGCCCGGCCCGCAGGCCGATACGGCGTGCGGCCGGCTGTGGACGGGCGCTCACCTCACTTCAGTCCTCTCCGGCGACGAGCAGGCGTTCCTGAACACGTTGGCGGAAGGCATCTACACCATCTGGATCGGATTTCACCACCCGCCCGGAGAGTCGAGCGGCGTGTTCCACTGGCTGGACGGGAGCCCGGTGGGGTACACCAACTGGCTGGATGACGAGCCCCACGGCAGCGCGTCGGGCAACCTCTTCGCCTATCTCGATGTGGGTAAAGGCTGGAGAGCGACTGGCACAGGCGATAAATATTACATTTGCAAGTATCTCATTTAGTCGCGTGTATGATCCACAAAAAGCCTTGCTCGCTGGCCTGCTTGTGGAAACATGTGACAAGTTATCTAGCCGTGCCTGAGCGTGGGTCTTGGTGGATCTGTTTGTTTCGAGCCGCCGTGTTTTTCATCAAGCCGTAATGCTGTTTTGACCACCGATTGCCTGATTTGCGCACGCGGAAATACATTGTGATCTGCAGCAAATCAGTTTTTGTCTCGGATGCGGTCGGACAAAATCCACGGGATAATGGGATTAGGTAGTGTTAGTAGCATCTCACCGATTGCCGCTTGGCCACGCTAACCATGGCATCTCACCGACTGCCGTTCGACCACACTAGCCATGGCGTCCAGCTCCCATGTAAGTAGCATCTCACCGATGGCCGTTCGGCCACACCAACCATGGCATCTCACCGACTGCCGCTCGGTCACACTGCCATGGCGTCTCACCGACTGCC